TGTGCATGTATGTGTGTGCATGTGTGTGTGCATGTGTGTGTGCATGTATGTGTGTGTATGTGCATGTATGTGTGTGCATGTGTGTGTGCATGTGTGTGTGCATGTATGTGTGTGTATGTGCATGTATGTGTGTGTGTGTATGTGTGTGGGGAGCGGTAGTGTAGCGGCCCGGGTTCGATTCCTGCTCACGGCCAACATTAGTGACGATTATCTAAACCGGCCCTGGGCCTCCCCTAGGTCGACTCAGCCTCAAATGAGTACCTGGTGCGGTGTGTAAACATCGCCACTGGGGAGACAAAGGCGGCCGAGCGTGGTGTTGCCCACCTACCTCTTCGTGTGCTGTTCCGGCCTTCATAGGTGCTACTCGCTAAAAGCACTTGCCACAACAGGCTGTACGGGGGAGCTTTGTCTTTGGTGTGCATGTATATGGCGTTGGCCTGCCAGCAGGGGGCGATGATTTCCGTGCGTATAATCCCAATTGAGTAATTTGCGGTGTCATTTTCAATGTTGACCCAAATGTTGGCCCAAATGTTGGCCCAAATGTTGGCCCAAATGCTGGTCCAAATGTTGGCCCAAATGTTGGCCAAATGTTGGCCCAAATGTTGGCCCAAATGCTGGCTCAAATGCTGGCCCAAATGCTGGCCCAAATGTTGGCCCAAATGCTGGCTCAAATGCTGGCCCAAATGTTGGCCCAAATGTTGGCCCAAATGTTGGCCCAAATGTTGGCCCAAATGCTGGCCCAAATGTTGGCCCAAATGTTGGCCCAAATGTTGGCCCAAATGCTGGCCCAAATGCTGGACCAAATGCTGGCTCAAATGCTGGCCCAAATGCTGGCCCAAATGTTGGCCCAAATGCTGGCTCAAATGCTGGCCCAAATGTTGGCCCAAATGTTGGCCCAAATGTTGGCCCAAATGTTGGCCCAAATGCTGGCCCAAATGCTGGACCAAATGCTGGCCCAAATGCTGGCCCAAATGTTGGCCCAAATGCTGGCCCAAATGTTGGCCCAAATATTGGCCCAAATGCTGGCCCAAATGCTGGCTCAAATGCTGGCCCAAATGCTGGCCCAAATGCTGGCCCAAATGTTGGCCATGACGCTGGCACACAGTGGACCTACTCTCGACCGTTTCAAGAGTAGATAAGTATGACGTCAGGGGCTTTGTAACGGTGTTACTACACCCGCAGTAGTCACCAGGGCGGCCTCTCGACCCCAACCACAATCTTCTGCAACAACCCCTGCGCCGAGAGACACAATCAATATAATGGCATTCAAAAAAATAAATAATATTAATTATAGCAACACTAATGTGTGTGTGTGTGAAAGTGTGGACTATTGCCATAGAGCCTCGCATCAAAGGGACGCGCCGCGTATAATTGGATGTGAATATTGATTCAGGAACAGCTGCGTGTGCATTATGAACGAGGAACGTGATTAAACATTAACCGCTATTAGCGGAAGTGCAGAGGCGCCCTCGTCCACAACAGGTGATGGAGCAAAGTCGCCCTGCTCGATTCGCCCCACCGGTGCTGAATTCTCACGATTCACGGTCGCCTAGATGTTAACTCCCCTCGCCTGGTACGCAGGAGGTCGTGGGTTCGATCCCGACCCTGACGCCTGGCTAGGAGGTGTTAACTACCTCGCCTTGAACGCAGGAGGTCGTGGGCTCGATCCCGACCCTGACGCCTGCTGCTGTATATTTGAAGTTTGCGTGTCTCTCATCATCATCATCACGGTGGCTATGCACGAGGTCGTGGGTTCGAACCCGACCCTGACGCCTGCTGCTGCTCTATATTTGAAGTTTGCGTGTCTCTCATCATCATCACGGTGGCTAGGAGATGTTAACTACCTCGCCTGGTCTGCAGGAGGTCGTGGGCTCGATCCCGACCCTTGACGCCTGCTGCTCTATATTTGAAGTTTTCGTGTCTCTCATCATCACGGTGGCGAGGAGATGTTAACTACCTCGCCTGGTATGCAGGAGGTCGTGGGTTCGATCCCGACCCTTGACGCCTGCTGCTCTATATTTTAAGTTTTCGTGTCTCTCATCATCACGGTGGCTAGGAGATGTTAACTACCTCGTCTGGTACGCAGGAGGTTGTGGACTCGATCCAGACCCTTGACGCCTGCTGCTGCTGTATATTTGGAGTTTGCGTCTCTCTCATCATCACGGTGGCTAGGAGATGTTAACTCCCCTCGCCTGGTACACAGGAGGTCGTGGGTTCGATCCCGACCCTGATGCCTGCTGCTGCATATTTAGAGTTTGCGTGTTCTGTCTCTCTCCGTGGTAGTGCGGATTTTTCTCCGGGTCCTCCGTTTTTTCCCTCCACATCTATTAACGTCACGCGTTTAGAGTATTTGGCTGCGATACATTTCATAAGCCACTTCGTTGAGCTATCATTTGTGGCCAGGTCGCATCTGAAAAAGAGCGATATAGCTCAGCGGGCCTTACCTGGTAAAATAAAAAAATAAAAAAATATAATAATAATAATAATAATGATGGATGATGAAAATAAAAAATAGTTTAGGTGTTTTAAAAATAAAGTTTGGACTTATTTGGGGTATACATATGACCGCGTCTCAAGGCGGTGTCGAGAAGCAGTAGACATTTACTTTGTAGAGAGAAAGAGAGGGAGAGAGAGAAGCAGTCACAGTTGTAAGTGGTGACAATGAAGGTCTCGGATCGAAGGGCTTGAATAGGGGGGGCAGGTGGTGAACAGCACGAAGTGCTGTAGGAAGGTTTTTTTCCCGGACTATGGGCGGTAGCAGAGGAGAATGAGTACAAATTTGGCTGGAGGAGGGCTTCTTACTTAGCTGCTGGGGCGCAGTTTGTTCCGTCCCTTTAGCACTATCAGCCGAGACGTAACATTTACATAAATAATTAATTTCCGTAATTTCATAAATAATTCTAACACGCGCAATTTTTTCTCACGCACGCTGAGTGCAAAAATCGTATTTTAATCAATTAATCATATCGTGCTTAACTGTCAACGTGTGCCTTGCACTTGGTGAACAATGTGCGTGCACAGCCCGTGTCTCGATCCACTGCTGGATGGTGGCCTCCAGACATACGTCACCACACTGGTCAGTGTTGTTTGGTTACTTGACCATTCGTCACGACACTGGTCGGTGTTGTTTGGCAAAGGTGGATTGGTAGGGGAGTGCAGATTCAATGGAAATCGCTGGACTGTAAACAAAAAATATTGTAAATGAATTTTTTTTAAGTTTTAAATTACAAAATCATTGTGGACGAGTACGGCTGTATTGGCAATGTTACATTACGATTCCGGCTACATTGCCAATGAATGCCCATAAGCAGATCATAATCCATACATTCGTAAATAACATTTACCGCCTTAAACGGATAAAAACAACACACACAATCATAAGAGGTGATTATTCAATGCAAATTTTAGATTTCTCGTTTGGAAACATTCTTAAAGTGTCCAGCTCATGGTGAAAGGCGCAGATCTCCGAACATGATGATTCAATCCGTCTCTCTGGCCTATGTGCCATGAAGAAGGCCCATTTTCTGAAACATCGCCTAATAATATTATTACCGTATCATATAAATAATAGGTGACTATTCATAGCCATATATGGAGACAAATGTCGAATTTGTTGGGCTTGTATTTGCTGTGCTTTTGCGCCAACGCCAACGCAGTATCACCGAATAACACAAATTGTTTGGTGATACCACCATTGGAACCTCCTTTGCCAGTAGCAAAATATGATAATAGTTTTTTTTTACCCTTTTATCTGGCAACAAAACTAATACTGGTTTGGCGTTGGTGCAAAAGCACAGACGACAAAAACACAGTTCCATGTGCCATGAAAAAGAGCCACGGCTCGAAACGTCACCTTTGAAGGCCACACACACACACCGTTAGTCACGCATGACGTTGCTTCGTTTTTTGTTGTTCTTTTCTCAAAATACAAATGTATTCGTAAATATCTAGGAATCGCCAATACCACTGTCGCCATCACACGTAGCCATCGCTTCCTTCCCCCCCCCAAACTGCCAGATGTCTCGTGAGTTGCTCGGTTGTAATGAAGGCGTCGTCAACCACGTGGGCAGGCGCCGCCATTCGACTCGAGGGAGTTCCAATCCCAACGGAGGGAATGTCCGGGGGGCGGGGGGGAATACGTGAATAACGAACTCGATTTAAATGCTCGCGCAGTTAGGCGATCGCAAAGGAGGCTCTGCGTTTCACTGCTAGCTACGATGAGCGCGGTTGGCTACGTACGGTGCGAAAGAGGTTCAACAGACATACGTATATATATAGACTGGTTTAAGAGGTGAGGTGAAAGGGTGGCTCAGTGAGACTCTGAGTGCTCTCTGGTTTTATCGGTAAAGTCACGTAGGTGAAAACAAAATAAAATAAAAAGAAAACAACTAAATTAAATCACGACGTTTTGGAAGCAACGCAAGCATCCGTCATCAGGTGTGACTGCTCCAGCAAAATTAGTGTAGCGTATGAAGAGAGCTATTAAGAGACACGTGTGTTGCTTCCGAAACGTCGTGATTAATTTAGTTGTTTTATTTTTATGTTATTTTGTTTTCACCTACGTGACTTTACCGAAAAAAACAGAGAGTATGGATCTTTGCAGCCACGAAAACTTCAAATCTAGACTCGAGGTGGCCGTGCCAGAGACACTGGGCCAGCTTTAGTGAGAGCCTGGGTTCGCGTCCAGGTTGCAGGCAACGGCAATTTATTATGTTCGAGAGCGGTGAAGTACACGCTCATTACACGTTCACGGATTATTGTCGTGGAGATACAAATCACCAAGTGACTCTTGTTTCATGCACTTTAGATGCCAATTACCCGATTACGTTGAGGTGTGTAATTTAGATGCCAATTACGTACATACAGCTAGCTGCTTGCTATGCGGCTTTGCCAAATGAACGGATTTGCCGAGTTTAGACCCTCACTCCTCTGGCAACACATGGACGACCTACTCAGTTTTTTTTATATTTATTAGAAAATAAATAAGCAGCCAATGCACCGACACGTCCCATTCGCCACGTGGCCTTCTAATTTCATCAGCGTTGGTTCATCACGAGCACAGATCTGGAGCGGGTTCAACACAGCGTCTCATCATCACAGTCGGCCTCGCTTGAGCCAATTCTGGTGAATTTCCAGACGCTTATAGGAAGAAGAATAAGATGAAAAAAGACCCATTAGCTGGAACCTTCCTTCTGCTTGTGAGTCGATGGCTCTGCCGACTGGACCACCTAGCCTGGCACCGCTCACGTAGACCCGACTTCAACAGAAGGCGCAACCCAAGACAACTATACCGTGTCGCCGATTTATTTCATTACCAGAGCAATATCGACCCGGGGCAATGCGGCAGCTATGATGTACTTGTGTAAACACGTAAAAATCGCCTCTCAATTCACGGCCCCAGGCTACACTCGGGGATATTGTCACGACCGACGAGGTTCCGTAGCCGGACGTTGATTAACGACGAATCTGAACAGATTTGTCAATAACACAGTGGCCTTACAATTATATGTATATAAATAATAGGCGACGTTTCAGGCAATGGTCCTTCTATGCCTCCCGCGATGTAACATCGTGTGTGCGTCTCTATGTCGCTACCACTGCGTGGGGGTTTTGATTGTGGGGAGCGGTGGCGCAGTGGTTAGCGCGTTGCGCTACAAGCCTGGCGACCCGAGTTCGATTCCCATTCACGTCCAACACCATTGACGATTATCTGAACCAGTCATGGGCCTCCCCTAGGTTGACTTAGCCTCAAATGAGTACCTGGTGTGGTGTGTAAACATCGCCACTGGGGAGACAAAGGCGGCCGGGCGTAATGCTGGCCACTCACCCCCTAATATTCCGAGCCAGTCTTTATAGGCGTTGCTGGCTATTCATACGTCAATTTACAAACTGGGCATCAGCAAACAACAATGTAATTCCTATAAAGCCCCCATGGTGGAAACCAGTGCAGTCTCCAACGAATTATTAATATTCAATTCGTCTTTCTACCGCTCTCTATTTATGTTCTATGAAAGAGCGCTATTGTCCGAAACGTCGCCAATTATATCTTTTGACTTCGAAGGTCATAGCGTTGTTGACGAATGTGTCTAATTGTTGTTGTTGTTGCTGCCTGTACTGGTGCACCACTGCCAACACAGCAGCTCCAGGAGCAGCAGTAGCAGAATGAGCAGCAGCACCTGCAGAAGCAGCAGCATCAGCAGCTGCAGCAGCTGCAGAGGCAGCAGCTGCAGAATGAGCAGCAGCACCTGCAGAAGCAGCAGCAGCATCTGCAGAAGTAGCAGCAGCAGCTGCAGCAGCTGTAGAAGCAGCAGTAGCTGCAGAAGTAGCAGCAGCAGCTGCAGCAGCTGCAGAAGTAGCAGCTATAGAAGGAGCAGCTGCAGAATGAGCAGCTGCAGTAGCAGCTATAGAATGAGCAGCAACAGCAGCTGCAGCAGCAGCAGCAACTATAGAATGAGCAGCAGCAGCAGCTATAGAATGAGCAGCAGCAGCTGCAGTAGCAGCTGCATGTGTAGGACCACGTAAGCGGCTAACGTGGCGCAGCTGTCTCAGCACCACCAGCACCACCAGCACCAGCAAAACCAGCACCAGCAGCACCACCAGCACCACCAGCACCGTACCTGATGAGATGCTTCGTGTTTGACATCTCACTTGCAACTCCTCTGCCTCCATCACCCCAGCGTGGAACCGATGTCGGTCAGTTGGTGGGCACAGCCCTGTCACGTCTTGAATGTATGTTGAACTTAAATTTCGATTTAAAGCTTTCGTGACTGCAGGGATTCATCTTCTTGGTTCTTTCGGTAAAGTCACGTAGACGGGAAGTAATAAAATAATAAAAATAAAACATAATAAAATAATTGTCACGACGTTTCGGTCACAACGCAAGCAGCCGTATGTTGAACTTCTTTCACACCCTACGTGGCCAACCGTGCTAATCGGTCTTGCTCACACCACTGCTGGCAGAAGGACCTCCGCTAGAGCAGCGTTCTTCACTCATTTTCAGGGAGGTGGGGAGGGGGGGGGGTCACGTTCGCCGATAAGACATCGTCAGTGTGGGGGGCCGCCACGCGTTTGAAACCATTGCTGGGTTTGACAGCAGCACCATGACGATGATGATGATGGGGGGCGACTTAACTCTGCGTGGATCGACAGCGGCCGCACAAAAGTGCCACCAGGGCCCACCCGTGACGCGCGGGGCCTTGCAATGAAGAACGCTGCTCTAGAATGGAGCAAATACCCTCTAGTGTCCAGAGAAAGAGAGCTCTAGAGAGTGCCTCATAGGGCATTTGGCCTACTCTTCTACGCTGGCCGTACGTCTTTGAAGATGCAGGGGTACCCACACTTTACCCCACCGCACGCGCCACGCCGGTAGATTTTAACTCCGGTGAAGACATTTAAATTCGACTGGGTGGGCAGGGGGTCGACGAGAAACCCGCGGCATTGTTTCAGCTTCGGCGCCAGGAGATGGAACCGGCGAGCACTCTGGATCGCAAGTCCAGCGCACGGACCGTCAACACAGCGCAACCACCGCATCAGCACGCCGTGTAACACCGGGACATCGGCTGCGTTTGTGCCCTTTGAGCCGCGCCTCCTTGTTAGAGCGAACGTGAAGTGGCTCGTCACCCATCGCCGACGTCGCCGCACGCATCGTGGCAAACCTTTAAAACGCGGAAGCAAATACTGTAGAAGCAAACATTGAACAACTCCGTTCCGTGCCTCCGCATGTAAGGACCGAACATTGTTCGGTCTATCGGCCCCTCGGCTTTACAGAACGACGTGACCCACGCGCGCATCTGCTTCAGCAAGAAAACTCTGGACCGCTTTTCGTCCTTCCGTGTCGCACCGTGGCACTGTGGACGTTAAAGATCTTCCCGATGTCTTACGCGCGAGCGAGGCCAATGCGTGGCCACAAGCCTCGGGCCTCCGAATCTGTGACGTTCCTAAATTGCACCGCGAATTACCCGATTGGGATGATACAATTGGAACCATCGCCCCCATGCTGGCAAATTGATGCCCCAGGTCACGCTTGCAAATTAGACCAATTCTGTTCGCTTGAGTTCCTCACCTGTTTAAACAAAAAAACTTGAAACGTATAAATATTAAAAAACACGGATGTCTTAGTACATTAACCGATTGGTTTTACAGACACATTATGAAGCAGCATTTGTTTAAACGAGCAAATACTGTAACCTTTTCAAGTTTCTGGGTCTTATCAGCAGTCAGGCTTGTTGAACAAATGCTGATGGGTTGCCAGATGTTATTGGCAAGAGGAATCCATCGAAACTACTACGGTGGTCCGTTCCTATTGCAATGGACTGAGCAGAGAGAAACAGAAACCTCAAGAAATCGGATCCAACGCACAGCACGAAATCAGCCAAACACAGAAAGCGGCACAGAATATTGTAACAGGCCAGGTGCGTGGGTGACACCTGCGTTTCATCACTTCAGAGGCAGGGTCTGTGGATCACACGGAGATGATCACGAGCTGTGAGTCCCCCCAAACCCACCGGGCTGCGTGATGTTCGCGAGATGGCAGTACAGCGAGCACGGATTATTGTGAACCTGTGCGTGTGGTCTTGTCAGTGTCATCGCCTTGAATCTGCAACTTTCTTTCCGGATGCAAAATCACTCATTAGAAAACCACCAAGCGACTCAATTCAGGAACCTCGTGAAAGAGGGCCTTGAGATTCAGCGAGGCATATTTTTCTGGCTGGATAAATAAAGTCAAATATGTTTTTTAACCGCTCGTTCATTATCAGAATTTCTCCATGACTCGAGTGACCCAACCAATCATCACTTCACCTTCTTCCTGCAATCACGGTGCGTAGGGAGCGTTTCCCTGCTTGGTTAGTCTCCCCCCCCAACGTGAGATTATGCACGTCAGCTTCCATAACTGGGTTTCACCGAATTCATTGAAAGATGACATTTGACATGATGGAGCTTTTGTGTGCAGTAAGACTGGCGACCTGGCTAATACCAACTCGTCACGCTTGGGAAATGGGTTTAATGACGGGGCAGCTGAAATCAAAGATTAAAAGGCCAGAATCTGAGCGGAGCTGGGTCAGTGCCCAGCTGTAGAACATGGCATTTCCACCACTCACTCTTGGCCACCAGCAGAAATTGGTGTTGCCACAGTGATGTTTTTTCTTCTTTATATTTTTCTAAGTCACCGGTGACCGGGCTGAGACCGACCGACCAACCAACCGGCTTGCACGTGAGAACTCCGCCTTAATCACCGCTGGGTTTAAACCCAGATTTGAACACAGGGACATCAGCGGTTCTTGCTCGGTGTTGAATAATGGTCCCACAAAGAGACTGGCGTCCACTGCGTGACTGCGACTCACTGCCAACCAACGGGGAAGAGCGCTGCTGGATTTCTCATGAGACGTCCGCAGAGACGTTCGCGTTTGCTCGAGTCATCGGTGGGCGAGTCGAGGCCGCAGCTTCGTGACACTTGAGAAGCCGGCTCAGTTCACGGGTGGCTGAAATCCAGGTACGAAAAGGAGGCTGTCAACGGCTCCCGTTCAGTATTCAATTGTGGGGGTTTCCATCGCTCGTTTAGGAACACCAGTGGAGGTGAACGCTGTCCCATTACTCTTTAGAGCAGGGATACATTTTTGAGTTCGACTCGAGTCGCTGGTGACCGTGCTGAGATCATCAACCCCCTATACTTACAAGAACCGAGTTTAATCATGGGTTGGGTTCAGCCCAGATTCAAACTCAATGTCTCCGACACGCTCATCAAGAACCACCCTGAGCCGCCTCCCCCCACCCCACCAAGCCACTTCAGCACCTGCCTCTCCCTCTGCAGCACCGGCACCTGGCGATCTTCTTGAAGGCGTTCTGGAAGTCCCGATTGAAGTAGGCGTAGATGACGGGGTTGAGCAGGGAGTTGGAGTAGCCGAGCCACGTGATGAGGGCCGTGATGATCTGCGGCAGCTTGCAGGGCGGTCCGCAGAACGGCACCACCAGCGCCACGACGAAGAAGGGCAGCCAACACAGCACGAACGAGCCCATGATGATGCCCAGCGTCTTCACCGCCTTGCGCTCCTTGGCCACGACCGCCCTCCTCACCGCCTCGTCGCCCAGATCCTCCGAGCGGATGGTCTCGCGCCGGGATTGCTGCGGGGGCGAGAGACACGCGTGGCACGACTCGCGGCTCCTCTCTCTCTCTCACTCACTCGGACCCTTCGCTCAAAGTCGCTCCGCACGTTGGGCGGTTTGCAGCCGCACGTCCGTTCGCGAGCGTTACCCCGGCCCACGTAGTCGCACTCGCACGAACGCACGCGCACGAACGCACGCGCACGAGCGCACGCGCACGAACGCACGCGCACGAGCGCACGCACGCGCACGCGCACAAACGCACGCGCACGAACGCACGCGCACGAACGCACGCGCACGAGCGCACGCACGCGCACGCGCACAAACGCACGCGCACGAACGCGCACGAACGCACGCGCACGAGCGCACGCACGCGCACGGACGCGCACAAGCTCGTAGAATGCACCACGCAAGTGGCACGCGGCCGTCCACGTTTCGAGCGGGGCGACGCGATGATGCGATCGGGATTTAGAGAGAGTCCCAACCGTCAACTGCATCGATGCGCGGAGCTGTGTAAGAGAACCGACAAAGGAGGAGTGTGTGTGTGTATGTTTAAGGCGAGGTGCAAATTATTACTTTTTGATTAAATTAAAACTGAAAAACGAAACAATTTTTTTGTATTTTACGGGGTAAGGCCAACTGAGCTTTATCGCTATTTTTCAGAAGCGACCTGGCCACAAATGATAGCTCCACGGAGCGGCTTATCACGTGGAAATTTGATTCTAAATGTAGAGGGAAAAAGTGGAGGACCCGGAGGAAAATCCACGTGAACCCGGGGAGAACACGCAAACTCCAAATATACAGCAGCAGGCGTCAGGGTCGGGATCGAACCCACGACCTCCTGTATACCGGCGAGGAATTAAATAAGTATAACCCGTAAAAACAAAGTTTTTCACTATAAATCCTTTATATGCGTGGCGGCTAGAGTCCTCTCGTCCTTTGGCTTGAGATGGCTGCCACCTATGGGTCAGATGATTGTCTGCCAGTATTAAGCAATTGGTAATCAAATATTTAATTTGTTTTCCCTAAACAGTGTAACATTTTGGAAACAAATTTTCACGAACATTAATTGTCTCGCACAACGAGTCTGTGTGCAAAATGTCAGCTCGATTGGATCACGGGAAGTGGGTTAAAAAACGACCGAAAGATTTGCACGGTCGTAAGCAAGCAAGCAAGCACGCAAGCACACAAGCAAGCAAGCAAGCGAACTTAATATAAAGGATTTAAAAACTCACCATCGTTTGTGTTGGCGTCATGCTCTAAATTTGCCACATTTATTAAACAATCGTAGCCCAATGAGATAAAATGCCCGACAGGGTACGACCATTGCGGAGATGGAGCGTTAAAATTTGCTCGTACGCGGGAGACAGATGGACGGCTGCATTTCTGATTAAACTAAAACACTAAACAATTTTTTTTATTTCATTTTACCAGGTAAGGCTCACTGAGCTATGTAGCTCTTTTTCAGAAGCGACCTGGCTACCAAAAATTGATAGCTAAACGAAGTGGCTTATCATCACGTGAAGTTTCTAGCAGCCAAATACTCTAACCGGCCACATTGATTCTAAGTGCGGAGAGAAAAACCCGAGGTCCCGGACACAAATAAAACGAAAACCCATCGCAGAGGCACACAACGGTGCCACAACCGCAGTGATCACAACGCACGTGCACACGCACGCGCGCTCGTGCATTACGGGGGGCTCGGGTTATAAAATCCACGTCCGGACAGTGGCCTTGTTGAAGCTGTGGTGTTTCTCGACACGGTCCCCGTGAAAAGTGCAGTGCACTTGGGTCCATCACCGTTCATCGTCAACATCGCCGGTGTCCCAACGCTACAAATCTCTGCCCAGGAAAATTATTTGTCTCGCTCGTGAAACGGCTCAAAGTTCGCAGCTTCATGTCGATCATCGCCACTAGGAAATCACTTTCACCCCTGAAGCGATTCTCTAGCTGTGAAAGTGGGTGTCTGTAACCTTATAATATAACCTTACAGTAGCTGCAGCAAAGATCCTATCTTCATCATCTTCAGCCATGATTCATCCACTTTTGGACGAAGGCTTCCCCAAGCCGTTGGCATCTTGTGTCTTGATGCAGCCGTCCTTCTGCATCACCGTAGGAGCAGATTTCAACGCTCCATCTCTGCAGCGGTCTAACCTGTCAGGCATTGTATCTCCTTGGGCTACGGTTGTTTAAGAAAAGTGACAAATTTAGAGCATGATGCCAGCACAAACGGTGGTGAGTTTTTAAATTCTCTCGCCTGGTATACGGGAGGTCGTGGGTTCGATCCCGACGCTGACGCCTGCTGTATATTTGGAGTTTGCGTGTTCTCCCCGTGTTTGCGTGGATTTTCCTCCGGGTCCTCCGGGTTTTCCCTACACATTTAGAATCCACATGCGTTTTCCAGTATTTGGCTGCTACAAATGTCCACATGATGATAAGCTCCTTCGTTGGGCTCGCTTCTGCAAAAGCGCTTTATTTAGAAACTACGAGATATGATGGCCCTCCGAGGAAAACCAACCTCCCCTGTGATGCAGAGAGAGCAAAGCATTTGAAGGTTTTAGTCTCCCGCGGTATTAACCGGGATGGCCCCTCGCCTCGAACCGCGATCCTCTCCAACGAAACTGACGAATCGGTGTATCGTCGCGTGCCATACAGTAGGCTGACGTTTCAGATATTGGCTCTCTTGCAGAGCGGACAGGGAGGGGAGAGAACTATTGACCGACCTGCAGTTTGGAGGTCACATTTTACACCGCGGGACCTTGAACACATTGGGACATTTTAAAAGGTTGTCGCATGAGCAGATAGGAATTGACGATTGACCTGTTTTCCATTAGCAGGTATTGAGTAGCAAACAACAGCAATAATATGAAGGGCCTTGTCATTGCCGAGTAAAGGACTCCTCACGCTTTGTCAATCGTGGGGTATTGTTTGACCATACTTCACCACGCTGGTAAGTGTGGCATGGTGAAGGGGGCACAAGCCAGGGTTGGGTTGAGATATTTTACTTGCTTCTGATATTGGCCACGAACGGGAATCAAACTTGGGTCACCGAGCTTAGAATTGAACACCGCTCACCACTGCTGCCACATCCCCAACCCCCCCCCCCCCCCGCATAAATGTGCACACAACAGCACACTCACCCACTCACCTACTCACCCAATCACTCACCCATTCACCTACTCACCTAATCACTCGCCCAATCACTCACCCGCCAAAGCACTCACTCACCCGCCACATTGCAGGTCGCACCTCCGATTAGCACGTTTGGCTACGTACGGTGCGAAAAAAGTTAAACATACATGCAGCACTCTTTAGTTCTTTCGGTAAAGTCACATGGGCAGAAAAAACAATAGATCACGAGGTTTCGATCGCCACGCAAGCAACCGTTTTCACCTGAAGGCGGTCTTCACCTGAAGGCGGTTGATTGTGTTTTTTCTACCCACGTGACTTTACCGAAATAACTAAAAGAGTATGACTTCCTGCAGTCACGAAAGCTTCGAATCAAGATTGATACGTACAGTACATAGATACACTGGCTTCCAAGTTGAGGTCACGGGGTGGCTCAGTGAGACTCATAATGACCATGCCAGAGACACTGAGCCAGCTTTACTGAGAGCCTGGTTTCACATCCAGGTACATTATTTTAGAGAGCGGTGAGATACATTATAATTGCAAGTTTACGGATTATTGTAGCGGATAATACAAATCACAAATTGACTCTTATCTCATGCAGTTTAGATACCAATTATCCAATTACGTCGAGGTGTGTAATTTAGAAACCAATTACACATTGCACCCTAATTGGCATATCGTAGTTTACAATAAATTAGATGCTGCACATCTCTTGCGGGCGATAGGCGGCTGTTTCTCGAACCTCACTGTCAAGTGTGGTGAGCGGTGGTCTCAGCCTGGCCACCAATGTGGGGTGAAGAGGTTCGTGGTTCGAACCCCAGCGGCCGCCCCGATTAATACCGCGCGGGCGTAGCAGCCAGAATGACACTGCACTCTCTCTTCTCCACAGCGGACGTTAAATATCCACTGTCCCCCCACATCGTGACGTCGTTTGCAAGAGTAGGCCCATTGTGTGCTGGCGTCGAGGTCCACGTTTGGCCAAATTCGAAAATGACGCCGCAAATTACTCAGTTGGGATTATACGCACGGCAATCATTGCTAACGCCCCAGGTATCTCTTGCAAATGAGACTCATCCTGGTATTTTGAGTTCTTAGCTGGGTAAACGAGATTAACTTGAAATCTGTCTGCACGCCATGATAATCATCAAACTTGTTGAGTGTTTTTTTAATATTCTTAGGTTTTTTCGGTAAAGTCACGTAGGTAAACTAATAAAAATTAATAAAAGTAAAATAAAAATAAAATAAAAATCACGACGTTTCGGAGGCAACACAAGCTTCCGTCTTCAGGTGGAACCGTCACAGCACGACAGCTGTATCAAGTAAGAGAAATTCTAATAAAACAGTCCTTGTATATATATTGGTTGAGGGTGACTTTACCGAAAAAAACCTATGAATATCAATCCTTGCAGTCACGAAAGCTTCAAATCAGTTTTTTTACTTTAATTTAGAATATTTCAACTCTGTAAATAAAACATAAATGCGTTTGATTGACACGCGAAGAACACACTCTATCTAGAACTTGTGGTCAGGTGGATGAGTCCCGTTCAAGCGACTTCAGAAGTAGTTCTACGGTAGCCTCTTCCAGGACCGTCACCCCCGGACACACCACGGCGATGTTGAACCGCTCGCTCCGTGAACTCCGAATGGAAATCTGTTCGTCTCGCGGCGTCACACCACGAGCGCGGTCGGAATAAAATTAAGGTGAAAGAGCGAAAAAAGAAAAGCAGCACTCGGTGATTTGAATTTAAAGTATATATCAATATTAGCCCGCGCAACTGCATCACCGTGGGAGATCGGCAGATAACGCCGAATGTCCCTGCAGCATTGGAGGCTGTGAGATGTTTCTGTTGTTTGCACTTATTCGCCACAGCGCAAACTGCCACTGCAGT